TGGAGCCTTCTGCCCCAAGGCCACTCTAAGGAGCTAATTTCATGTATTTAGTGAGGTATATGTATTATTACTACTATACGCCTGCGATTGGAGCTGATGATGAAGTCTCGGGTTATGAAAAATGCCACATTTTAATGATTAGCCTCTAATAGTCACTTTGGAGCGCAACTGAACTTTAACAGCTCGAGCATATGCCATAAATATTATCACGCGATCTCCGCGTTTTCGAAGGAGGTGGAAGAAGGGGGAAAAGGGGGGGGTTCGGGGAGAGAAAAAAATAGAGAAAGAACAGGTCAGCACATGACAGGTGGTATATCATATATTCTGGTCCAGAGCTCAGAAGGAATTCTACTATTGGCTCGGTGATCCCGCAAGAAGATTTCTTCAGTTCAATTCACTGTCGAGTTGAAAGGGATTTCCTCACTGAAATTATAGTTAGGGTAGTTTGGTACAGTTTTGTAGTTACCTATTTGTAATCTATTAACCTCTCGCGGATTGGTAACTCAAGATGTCAACATAATATTAGAATCTCGAGTTATCCATGAATCAAATCTGGATCATTATACTACCGGTGCATATGATCAACAAAATACTTATATTTCTTACGCGTCTGAGAGGAGTCGTAAAATGTCCTTTCCTAACGTGACTCAAGCCCAAAACAGTGGACGAAGTGGAACTCAGGAAAGTCGACTGAAGGTCCACCAGGGCGACTTCCTTCTTCTTCATCTATTCTCGGCGTCAAGTCCAACTCTCTATCATGCTACATATCGCATATTCGCTGCGAAGAGTACTATTACCTCTTAGGGGCAAACCGGCCCCCTCTCAGGAGGCGACGTTACGAAGTAGCAAAAGGACAGATATTAATTTGCTAGTATGTACATTTTCTGCTTCTTTTGTTGTTGTGTGGGAACGTAGTGGCTGATATACAAAACAGCTAAGTGAGACTCACTTCGCAAGTACTCCAAGTACGTTGCCAATATAGGTTGCGCTTTTAGCAAGTGCTCTCATAAGAAAAACGAATCATATGTATTTATAGAGGTAATGGACATATCATAGGTAGTACATTCCATTCATAGGTAGTATTATGGGTATTCTATTATTCATTTTATATCATCATTGATCTGAGGTAATTCTAATAATAAAACGGAATATAACAAATAACTTTATTCTAATGTGCAAATTGCTGCTTTTATGTGTAAGCGTATCGCCATTATAAAAAAGAGCAGTTTGCCGTTTTGCGAATAAGCAACTCCTAGTACGACACTAGAGATTTCTGAGGATGACAAAAGTAACTCGTCACGCGTGAACGTCAATTCGACCTGTATGAATATGGTTCAACCACAACCACATCCACCAGCATACAATTCACCATCAGAAATTGGATCGTTCAAAGGCTTCCTATAAACAGCATCCTCACCATGCCTGTAGTAGAGATAATTATCAGGTGTGACAGTGAAACCTTCAGTACCAGGGATGCCGAGGTTGACGTACATTTTCGAGGCCTGATAAGAGTATGGCAACCAAGCTGTGACACCAGTGTCAACACGAATGTACATATAAGGTGCCAAGTAACGGATGCTCGTAGGCTTGTTGAGACCCTCTGGACTATCATAAGGAATACCCTTGATGAGCAAGTTGTTTGGTAGACTAACTTGAGAACCGGCAACCCAACCAAGAGTCTTCCAACCGGTACCATAGGGAATGCGTTCGAAACCAAAGACGCCGTTCCAAGTGTTGGCAGTCACATACAACCTATCAGGAT